GCCCCCCCCAGCCATAGCCGCTGGCAAAGGGCCCAGGTGCCAAATCCTGTGGCATTGCCAGTCTCCACCCAGCTTGTTGCCGACTCCCTCCTTCCTTTCCTTTCTTTCTTTAATTAGATTAAATTAATTATTCAGTTACTTATTGTTTTCTAATATTACATGAGTTTCATGTGTGCAACGATGTATCTTGACTTCTGCATACATTGCAGCGTGCTCACCACCAAACGTTTATTTTCCATCTGTCACCAGTTGGCCTCCTTTACCCATTTCACCCTCTCCTCACCTCCCTTGTTTCCCCTTTGGTAACACCAGTCTGTCCTCTGTATCTGTGTGCTTGCTTTTGTTTTGTTTGATTTGTTTATTTAAAATTTTAAAAGTTCTTATTTATTTTATTGAAAAAATGTTTCATATGTCACATTTGAGCCTCACTCTCCTTGTTTGCTCCTCCTCTGTCTCCTTCATGGGCTTCTTTTTTCTACTTTCCTTTGTGAATGTTGGTGTTTCCCGGGGTCTAGCCTGAACCCCCTCTCTTCTGACATTGGTGGCCATCTTGAGTGATGTCTGCATCTCTGTCTCTAGACCAGATTCCTCTCCAAACTTCAGACTTGTATGCCCAGGTATCTGCCTCTATTTCTGCGGCACCTTTGCTTTTTGTTCCAGGCACTGTGCTAAGGGCTCTCTGTGCCTTATTTTAATCATTTTTCCAGGTCTTTGAGGATGGGATGGTCCTATTCTATAATGACATGAGTATGATTTAAATTCTGTTGTTATTCCTGTCACAGAGTTGAGATCATTGAGGTTCAGAGAGGTTCCAATAACGTGCTGAGGTTCTAGAGGAAACAGATCCGAGAGCCAGAATTCAGACTCAAGTCCATTCCCAGATCTTTGATATCATGTAGCTAATGGGAAAGAGGGTGAGGGATCAAAATGGATAATTGAAAAAATAGAGCTCTGCAAGAGACCAGAGAAAGACAACAGCAAGGAGAACTGAACTCTGATTAAAGGGTGGTGGGAACAAGGGACAGAGGAGGTAGCCTCGCTCAGGCCCTCAGTGAAGCAGCATTTGAGAATTCACCATTGACGTTTCACCTTCCTTTGAAGGGTTGTATCATCCGTCATGAGCAATTGAATGCCCCCTCTCTCATCGCTGCCGTGCATTGTCCGGGTTAGCGGGGTCTTCGTGTATGGGCTTCCGTTTCCTGAGCAGCTTTCAGAAGGCAGCTGTGCCGGCTCCTTTCCTGTGCCTCCCTCTCCTGCCTCCGCACTGTGCCCGGCTCCTCTCCTCTGCCTCCCCCAGGACACAAACGACCACCGTGGGCACATCTGTGGGTGGTGCAGACGGCCCCCAGCGTCTGTCTTCTTCTTGCCTTCACCTCGTATCTGGCTTTGCCTTCACAGGGCGTGGAGCATCCTGTGACCAGCGTCAGCAACAGCGACGTGGAGAAGGCCTACCTGGCCTACTGTGCCGCAGGGTCTGACCCCCAGGCTGCTGCTCTGAAGTTCCAGGCAGGAAAGCACACATACGAATTAGACTTCAAAGGTACTTCCTGGAGTTCCCTGGTGGCCTAGTGGTTAGGATTCCTGACTTTCACTGCTGTGGCCTGGGTTCAATCCCTGGTTGGGGAACTGAGATCCCACAAGCTGCTTGATCAGGCCAAAAGAAAAAAGATACTTCCTGACCCGCTGCACTCACCCAGCAGGGCCTGGTCATCTGCTGGCTTTGCCTTTTCCATTTTAACCCTGGAGAAAGTCCGCACACACATTGAGAGCCAGGAAAGAGAAGGATGGGGTGGTCCCTGCTCCTGAAGTGCTGCCAGACTGGAAGGGGGCATAGAGGCCCGCCAGCGGAATGGGTGGGGAGCTGCCTGGGGGGGGATGGGAGGGGACAGGAGCCCTCCTTGTGGAGGACAAGCAGCATCAGCCTGTGGGCAGTGACGGTTGTCCTGTAGGCCATGGGCATCCCTGTGTCTAGGTCGCTGACACTTGTCATAGTGGTTCTGCTGTGCAGCTCTGCTTTCTGTAGACACCTTCAGCACAGATGGATGGCCGGCTAAACACGTGGTAGGCACACAATTCAACTAAAAATTGTTGGGAAGCAGATTTTCAGATGCTCTGCTCATGGTATCCTGAGTCTGGGCCTTGGCTTGTTCTGGTTGCCTTGACAGACAGGCAGATAGACAGAAACAGACCAAACACCCTTTGGTCAGGCCTTCCAGTGGCTTATTTGTGTTTTTTTTTTTTTTTTTTTTTAAGTTTCAGGTTTTTTGTGGCTTCTCAAGCCATTTTCACAGAGATTTATCAGTCCATCCCTGTTCAGTTCAGTTTTGCCTTTAAATTCACATTTTAAACTCTGAATCCCTTGCGTTTTCATCATTCTTCAAGAAAATTAAGTGGGCCTTCCTTTAAGCATAGTTTATTATTTTCTTTATTTTTGTGGACCTTCTGTTTGGAGGGCAGCAAAGTGTTTTTGGTGAATTATCCTAAATCCACTCTATCTGACTGCTTTTAGGCAGTTGGTTTTGCTTGTGGTTTGTAGCACTTGTGGTTTTACTTAAAGTAGAATTGCTGCCCTCTCAATGTGCCTGTACAGAGAGCCTAAAAGTTTCTTCTACTCTACAGCGAGAACTGCTTACAGTCTGCAGTGTCAGCTGGGGAACACAAGTCATATGTGAGGTGGTTTGCAATCCACAGTCTGATAAACACAAGTGCATTAAAGGGGATGGTGAGAAATACATGAAATAATAAGTCAGGACAGGCCTGAAGAACAAGTCTGTACACCTAGCACCCATCTGACTGCTGCTGACCGTAGTTTGAAGTATTTCTTTAAAGTATCTGGACAATATCAAAATAGATCAACCAGAAATGTCAGATGCAGCCTTTATCATTCTCAACATAGGCAGCAGCCCCAGGGGATAGAACAGTTAAGATGAGGGTGGGGAAGAGCACACACATTGAGTTCACTGCAGACTGCAAGAAAAAGCATGTTTGCTGCAGACTCACTCAAGCTCACTTGGGTGGGCACAATTCTTTTGTTTGTTTGTTGGTACATAACAGTAGCCACAGAAGTACTTTGAGGTGAGTTAACTTCTCCCTTCATAACCTGACTATTAGGTAGAGTGAAAGCAAGTCTCAGACCGCAACCTGCCACTCACATTTATTAACTAAATATTTATGAGGAAGCAGGGACGTTTAAGAAACACGCACAACTGACTCGTTCTGTAGGATCAGGGAAGACTTGGCTCTGCCTTTTAGACCCCTGTCGTGAAACAGTCACTCAAGGCAAATGCCAAGACTCCAGAGGCAGAATTCTGATGTCTGTTAGCTGGTATCAGTTGGGCAGAATCCCCAAGATCAGGGCTTGTTTAGGGACTTCGCCTAGTGTATCCTCTTTAAGGGCAAATTAGGGAGAAGGCCTCATGTTTACCCTGTCTAGGGGACGGTGGGGAATGGGTCTCGCTTATATTTATCCAGTTCACTTATCTTGAATACCTTTTCATTTCACCAGTAAAAGCTCATTTGGGGTTCATTGCAGTGTTAGTCAACAGACCAATAAAAAGCCTGTTTAAGCTAATTAGCAGAGTATTTGGTGGGAGGTTGAGTGATGGGTAACTGAAGGGGTTGTGGTAGCCATCTCTGGATTATATGGGCTCCCTATTAGAATGTGGGGACCCCCCAGGAGTGCCCATTGTGATGACCATGTGGGCTGTGGCAAGAGGGACACACGCCTAGGTGATCACTGGGTGTATGCTGAAATGCAGTAGGGTGAGTTCGTTTTTCAAGTGAAAGAAAATTGTACTCTACTGCAGAAAATAAGACTTGACAGAGTTCTCCTGGTGGGTTGGGACATGTAGTCTAACTTAGAGGTATTGTGATTTTTCAACATGAAAGATAGTTCCCCTGTCCCCCCACTTCTGCCCTCAGGAGGAATCTGAGAATCTTGGGCATGGGGCAAGGATTTCATTTATTAAAGACAGTCCAGTTTTTAAAAAGTTGAGAAGTATTTCTGTAGGGTAAGTTTAGTCAAAGTAAGAAAAAAAACTCATAAGAGTAAAATTATTATATTAACTCTAAATTCCACTGGCTCAAGATGTGGTAAATTGGTCTCAGCCTGGGCTGAAGCTTTTTTATATCCAAGCTGGGAAAAATTGCTGAGCAAAATAATAGTTTAAACAAGATTTGAAGGAACAATTTAAAAGCACTCATGTATAATTGATATGTCAATTACTAATCATTCATCTATTCATTAAACCCAGTCTCCTACAGATACCTGTTTTCTTTTTGAATATTTGAAATGTGTAAAATTGCCTTATTTTTTTTAACAGACTGATTGTGAGCTTTACATTTGGATTAGCTTTCCAACCCATTTAATTTGTGTTTATAAAACATTGCTATCCCATATGTGTATATGTGTTTGTTTGTTTGTTTGTTTCTCCCAGCCTTCGTTCAGAAAAACCTGGTCTATGGCACAGTTAGAAGGGTTTGCCGGAGACCCAAATTCGTATCTCCCCAGGATGTGAAGCTGAAGCAGACCTGGTAGGTGGCATTTGGGGAACTTGTGTGTGTATCAGTTGTTGCGTGCTCTGCTGCAGGTACAAAACCTACTCAGACTAGCTATAGCATTAAGAGGGTTAGCTGGCTTGCAGACTTATGCCCTGGCACTCTCTGTCTCTGTTTCCTGTGCCTGGCCCTCCTCTGAGTGTATTTGTACTTTCCTTCACTTAATACCAAAGTGCTGCTGTTCATTTGAGTGATCTGTAAGAAGGTTGAGGCTTCATGAAACAGAAAAATCAGTGTATATTTACCACATTCAAATGAAAACATAGTAGCATGTATTATAAAGCTATAAAATACAACATGAATTTATAAAAAGTAAATGTTTGGTGTATAATCATTTTAATGATGATGCAGATGCAGTTAACAAAGCATTAAATGATAAGCCAAACACAACATAAAATAAAGGAAAAAGACACCAGAAAAATCACTTAATTAGATGTTTTATCTTTAAGTTTGCCAGTGATGTTACTGAGACATCAGGTATTCTTGTGCAGATTTTTCCAGAAGCCAAAAAGTTCTTTCTTAGTTTAGACTAACTTAGAGAATGGTGAGGAAATAGTAATAATCTAACTCCTGATATTTTCTGTTTCCATCTTCAAGTGATTATATCTCTTGTTTTATAACTTGCAGGAAATCTTTTTAAACAGCTCTTGGGGTTTTTCTGTTCATTTGTGTGTATGTTTGTTAGTCAGGTTTTTTCCGCTGGTAGCGAACTGTGGTTTTTGTTTCTAACAAAGGATTTTAAGTTCCTCTTTTTCCTCCAGTTGTGTCATGTATGAATGGCAATTCCAGTGTAGAGTCACCTGTAGCAGTTTGACTACTGACATGCATATTCCACTAGTTGGAACGGCTTTGAAACAGAGAAAGAATTATCCTTGTGGGTAGAGGCTTTGTGATATATAACTATAGGGCTGCTTGTTGTGATCTGCTAGACACTCTAGACTTGAAGCCAGCTCATCAGCTTGTCTTTTCAAGTGAATAATTGAGTCACAGACCTGAATTTTTGTAAATGTTGAAATACACCAAAAATTACACCAATAAAACCCCATTATTTTAGTACTTGGATATCATGGAATACCAAAAACAGGTGCTGCAGGCACTAATGGGCCAACTTCATCCCCAGGGTGGGATCCCTTATGTCACAGGCTGCCAGAAGCCACAGGGTAGTGCCTGGCCTTCTACGCATTTAGGAGCAGGCAGGGCCCTCCTGCAGCTGACGGGCAAATCTGTGAACTTTGCAAACTGATTAGACCCCTCTGAATCAGTAGTTTTAGGCTTGAGGCAAGTGTGCTAGGATTGGAGCTGGGGGAGGGGTCAGTTCTCTCCAATCCCCACGGCCAGTTACTGGCCTGGATGGTGAGAGGTACCATGGTGCCCATTAGTCTGGGTGTGTGACAGCAAGCCGGGACTGTAGCCAGAGCTGTAGCCAGCGCTGCTGTTAGTGGACTGCATCTTCCATCAGCCGGAGAAATCTGGCTCGTTTCTGTTTCACAGAGAACTTACAGTGTTTCTATTTCTTCTTTTAAGATTTCACAGATGGACTTCAGTGGTTGTGTTTGTGGAGCATGGCAGGGTCATTGAAAGAAGCTAGAGGGAAAAGGTATTATCAATCCAAGCAAATAGAGTACCTGTGAGTCTAACAAAGTAACCTCCTGGGGTTTCCGCTCCCTGTTTCCTTCGAAGCCAAGTGTGCCTTCCTTCCTCCCTTTCTTACTAAAATTTATTTTTGGCTATGTGTAAAACATGATTTAAAAGTCAAAACTATATGAAAAGATACACTCAGCAGTCAGTATTCTCACTGTTATCTCCACACTGTTCCTATGATGGGCAAACATTTTCATCAGTTTCTGGTTTATCTTTCTGTGTTTATTTTTGCAAAAATGAGCAAATGCATATATATAAAAGTATCTTATTTTCTTTTTCTTGCATAAAAGGTAACATTCTATATATACTATTCTGTACCTTTTGTTTTTCACTTAAAAATAGATCATTACTAGATTTGTTGTGATGATTTCACAGTATATACAAATATTGAAAAATAAAATTACTCCCTTTCAGTTCATTGAAGTCTTCTAAATTCTGTTTCTGTCTTCACAGTTCTCCATCATTTGCATGTACCATAGTTTAATCTGTCCCCTTTCGAGGGATGTTTTGCCCTTTTTCAGTCTTTTGCTGTTACAAGTATGATACCACAAAGGATGTCTGGTGTATATGCTATTTCATATTTGTGGAGGTGGGTCCTCAGGTTAGAGTCCTAGAAGGTAAATGCAAGTTCCTCTCTGTGGGGTGGAACCGTTAATGCACTCACCCCAGAAGGTGTGAGGTGCCTGCTTCCCTCCCCCTTGCCAACAGAGCGAGTCATCAAGCTCTTGGATTTTCGCTGTTCTCATAGGTGGGAAAGGGTGTTTCAGTGTATTTAATGTACTTCCTCTTATGAATGAGGTTTAATATTTTTTCCTACATGTAAGGGCCATTTGCCTTTCTTTTTCAGTGGACTGTTTGTCTTTTCGTCCATTCTTCTCTCAACATTTTGGTATTTTTCTTAAACATTAAGAGTCTTCTATCTAATGGGGAGATCAGCCCTCGGTTTGTTATATAAATTGCAATGTGTTTTCTTTGTTTGTTGTTTGCCTTTTGGCTTTGTCTATGATGTATTTCACCATGCAGAAATATTTATTATTTAGTTAGTTAAATGTTTCAGTCTCTCCTGTGAATTGCTTCTGGATTTAGTTTTGGTTAACTATGAGTCATCCTACTTCTGGACGTCATGTTTTAGTCTCTCCCTATCCAGAGCCTACCCTAGATGCAGTTTAGAAAAACTTATCTGTCTCCTTTCTGAGACTGGATCTCTTTTGTTGTCACTCTACTTAGTTTTCAGGGGACCATGGCAGACACCACATGTCAGAAATAAGAGTGGTTATTTTGGTTAAATTCAGAGTAAGATACGAGGGATTCAGGATCCCCCTGCTATGTCACACACATTGGTGCAGTGAAGTGCGTCGTGCTTCCCTCTAACTTGTGTGACGGTAGCTGGTGGTCATGACTCCAGCAAGCAAGTGTGCTTGGGCCTCTGTGGCCATCTGGGACTCTTGTGTGGGTCACTTTTAGAAACAAATTGTCTGTTTACATACTTAATCGGGTCACAGAATATGATCTCCATATTCAGAAGTTTAAGGATTGAAATGGCATTTACACATCAGGTATCTGGTTTATTCATGACTGTCCTTTCATCCTCCATGAAGTTTTTTTCATATGATTGTCTTATTTTTTTCCTCCCTTTTTTTGATATATTTTGTCATTTAATTTATTCCTCTCTACTAGTTTGGAAGTTGTACACTCTATTACTGTTTTTTTTTTTTTAAGGCCACTCTAGAAATTACAACATGAGTTTTTCACTTAGGTATAAGTCAGTCAGTATCCTTGCTGTCCTACCAGCTGACACAAGATCCTTCATATACTTTATTCCATTTACCTTCCTCTGGACTTGCTATTTTTTAACTTCATGAGACACTGCTTTTTTACATTATGACTGTTTCATTAAATTTACTCCCACTTATACCATTTTCTCTGTCTTTTCAAATTTCCTTAGATGAAGATCTGTTGGGAAAAAAGTCTGCTTTTCTTTGCCTGAATACATCCTTATTTTGCCCTCAATCTTAGGGATATTTTCACTGGGTGTAGACATTTTACTTGTTATTTTCTCTTGAAACATTGAAGATATCACTCCACTGTGCTTTGGTTTCCATTGCTGCTTTTGAGAAATCAGCTGTTGGTCTAACTGATGCTTTCTTCCAGAATCACTTTTTTTCCCCTTCTGGCTGCTTTTAAGATTTTCTGTTTGTCTTTGTATTATGCACTCTCACTATGGTGTGTCTGGGTATGTGTTTTTATTTGTCCTGTTTGAGGTCCTTTCTGCTTCTTAAGTCTGTAGGTTGGTATGTCTCATTAGTTCTATTTGAAAATTGCCTCCATGCTGTTCTAGCTACTCTCTTTTTGGAGATTCAGTTTGGCTCTGACCAGGTTCAGGCCTTTTCACTCTGCTCTCTGTGTCTTGGCTTCTTCCCTGCCTTGTTTGTCCCCTTCCTGCTCTGCGCCACATTCTGGATAATTGCACTGCCCCTGCCTTTCAGCTCGCTCACCCTCTCTTTAGGTCATTTCATCTGCTAGTAAAGCCTGTCCGTTGAACTTCTTCAGGGATCGTATTTCCATTTCTACAAGTTCTGTTTGTTTTTTTTCTTTTCAGACGCTCCAGGTCTTTTTACAGTTTTCTGTTCCTTGCATATGATTTTTTTAGGTAGATCTTTATTGGAATATAATTGCTTCACAATACTGCGTTAGTTTCTGTTGTGCAATGAAGTGAATCAGTCATAATGCATACATGTGTCCCCATAACCCCTCCCTGTTGAGGCTCCCTCCCACCCTCCCTATCCCATGTCTCTAGGTCATCGCAAAGCACTGAGCTGATCTTCCTGTGCTGTGCTGCTGCTTCCCACTAGCTAATTATTTTACATTCGGTAGTGTAGGTATATTGATGCTACTTTCACTTCACCCCAGCTTCCCCCTCCTCCCCCATGTCCTCAAGTCCATTCTCTATGTCTACATCTTTATTCCTGCCCTGCCACTAGATTCATCAGTACCATTCTTTTTTTCTTTTTTTTTTAGATTCCATATATATGTGTTAACATACAGTATTTGTTTTTCTTTTTCTGACTTACTTCACCTTGCATACGTTTTAAAGTTTGTCTTTTATTTCTTTAAACATAGAAAGAATAGTTGTTTTATAATCTGCCTGGTAATTTCAGCATCTTCAGTCTTCATGGGTCTGTTTCTGGTTGATTCTTCCTTGTGGGACCTTTTTTTTAGTTATTTTTAAACTGTGCCATTTTCCTAGGAAAGTTATTTGTGGGAGTTCTTTGAGGCTTAGGATGAAGGTACACGTCTCATGCCAGCAGAAACAGAAGGTAGATCTGTTGTAGGAAGAACAGCATTCTGAAACTGAATAGGAATGATTTGGAGTTAGAGTTTCACAGTCCTTATTTCTAAATCCTTTGGGCCATCTGTTTTTTAGAAATGGGTTTTTATTTCATTTTTAGAAAGAGCATGTGCTGCTTTCTATTATGTGACACATGCAATTAAACATGCTAATATTTTTTTGCAGTAAAAATATGCAGTCACTTTAAGAAGGAAATATATATATAGACCACAAGTAGCCTCTTAGCAGTTCAAGTCAAATTTCTACTGCCAAGTGAATTTTGACATCAATTTTATGTTTTAAAAACTGTTTTATTTGCCAATTATACGTCATTGAGGCTGTTTTTTAAAATTAATTTGTTTTTTATTGGAGTATAGTTGATTTACAAGATTGTGTTAGTTTCATTGAGGCTGTTGGGTTTTTAAAATTTTTTTATCATTGTGTTCTGAATTCACAGCATTTTTAATTTATTTTTTATTTTATTTATTTTTGCCTGCATTGGGTCTTCGCTGTGCGCGGGCTTTCTCTAGTTGCGGCGAGCAGGACTACTCTTTGTTGAGGTGTGCAGGCTTCTCATTGTGCTGGCTTCTCTTGTCGTGGAGCATAGGCTCTAGGCACACAGGCTTCAGTAGTTGTGGCATGCGGGCTCAGTAGTTGTGGCACGCGGGCTTCAGTAGTTGTGGCTCGTGGGCTCTAGAACGCAGGCTCAGTAGTTGTGGCGCACGGGCTTAGTTGCTCCGCGGCATGTGCAATCTTCCCGGACCAGGGCTCGAACCTGTGTCCCCTGCATTGGCAGCCCGATTCTTAACCACTGTGTCACCAGGGCAGTCCCATTGAGGCTGTTTTTAATGAAAGTTTCAGGGCTCTTTGAATTTCAGAATCACGGATGAAGGTTTGGGTGTGCTGCTTTAGTCATATGCTTTGTCCCTTATATGTGTTGGAGTTGGGATGCAGGTGAGAAATGGATCCCTCGTGCCTGATTGATTTTGGGTTTGGTTTTGGTTTTGACCACATCGGCAAGGATAGAAGTGCTGTTACGTGGTGAAGAGTGTGGTTATGTGCTTCCTCGCCTCCTCCCTGCTTTTACAGAAGCATATGCTGACGCTCAAGACTGATGGCCTCGGCTGCTGGAGGCACCTCTGGGAAACCTACTTATGTCTAAGAACAAACTAAGTGTTTCTCTTTACATTTTGTAACAGCGTCAGTTCCCAAGGCCTAAAGAGCATCCCTGAGCATTGGGACCACTTGGCCCTGTCGGACACCGGCTTTAAGGTATGAGACTGGCACTGCCCCAGGCTGGGGAGGAGGTGTCCTTAGACACAGGTGAGTGTGAGTGGACCACGCTGTGTCCTCCGCCACTGAGAGGTGTGTGCGAGGTTTGGTTTCTTTCAGATCTTGGGGATTTTACATTTTACGGGCTAGATGACTACCCAGGACGTGGCCATGGCTCGAGGGGAGAGGATGTATGGTGGAGGGAGGATGACTAACTGGAAATTTTCTAGGAAGGGCATAAATAAGGAGCTTAAGAGCTGCTTAGCTAATAAAAGTTTTACTAAGCAAGAAAAGGGAAAGAAGCCAGCAGAAGGTTTGGTGTGATGAGGACCATCTAGAAGGGGAGTTGCTGTTGGGAGGTGCTAGGAACTTACTAGAAGATGAGAGAAGGAACAGTCTATTCAGCGAGTTGCAGTGGGCGCCACGCTGAGTTGAGTAGAGAGCTCAGGCCGGTGTCTGATGATGCCCCATGTACCTGGAGCACCCTGACTGGCCTCTGACCTGGCAGGCACCGTGCAGACTGGTTTTTCCAACATGTGCCTGGGAGTCGCACAAATACACCCAGACGCCAGCAGCCCTGGCAGGACGTGTGGAGGGCTGGGCAACTTTCAGACACAGTACTCGGCCATCAGGGGACCAGATGACTGTATTTCAGGGATCAAGGAAGGTGTCGCCGGGTCCACACCTAATGATGGCTGGCGCTTACACAGGCAGAGGGTGGGGAAGGACACTCCAGTTGATGGGAACTGGCTGGGGAAGGAACCTAAGTCAGGACACAGAGTGTCTCGGGTGGAGGGCGTGCATAGGCGGGGGCTGGGGGACAGGAGAGGGAGGTCAGAGCCGAGCTGTGGAGTGTCCTGGTCAGGGGGCCGAGCTGTGGGCCATGATAGGTGCGGGAGTCCTTGCCAGGCTCCAGGCTGGGAGGGCAGGGCTTGAGGGAGAGGGTTTGATGGCATCTAGTGAGATGGGAGCAAGGAAACTAAAGTCAGATTTGGGGTTGCAGAGACCCATGGATGTTTACACAGAGTCCTGATCATTTAGGGTCTTTGCGGGGTGAGGTGGTTATTATACGGCTGCACTCGGTGGGGGAGGACGGTGATCCCGGGTCAGGCTGTCACTGGGCCAAGCCTCGTGGAGCTGGGAACAGGGAGGCTGCTTGGGGTCCAGGCTACAGAGTCAGGGGCCCCTCTGGGCTCATCAGGAGTGTTGCTTCCCAGAGCCAGACGCTAAGGGAAGTGCGGGCTCAGCTGGGAGGGAGGGGCGCCCGTGGGTCTTGCTGAGCTCCTGGGCTGCTGTGTGCTGTCTGCCGGCCTGGCCTCTCGCTCCGCGCTCGCCGTGTGTGGGGCTCACGTAGCATTGCTGCCTGTGGCAGGGTTTGCCCCCTCTCTGCCAAATGTGTGTGTTCCACATCTGTTGGCACCAGCTCCGTGGTCTTGTTGACTCTGTAGTCGGCCCTGTGTGGGCTCAGAAGAGCAGGGTTGTGCTGGGGGCAGCCAGGGTGGGGCTCACATAGCATTGCCTGCCTGTCCTCTAGGCTGGCTTCACAGTGGAGAGGAGAGAAGTGACCACAAATAGCATGCATCCGGAGCCTGGAGAGACTGCCCCTTGAAGTAAAGGGGAGCGTGGTAGACGCCGTCTGGGTTTGCCTGTGGTTCTGGCATTTCATGAGCAGCCTTGGGAAGAGATGTATATTCTACGCTTTGATGATAACAGGGTAAAAATATTTGCCCCTTACAGAGGATCGCCCTCCCTTCGTCCTCAGAGGAGTTTCGAAAGATCTGGAAACTCTTCACCCATACGATGCCTCTCTACTACATTCAGAAGATTGAGCGGGTCCAGAACGTGGCCCTCTGGGAAGTCTACCAGTGGTGCGTTGGGGGCTCACTCTTGGTGGGCTGGTGCCTCTGTCCCCTCAGCCAGCTGCTTACCAGACATGCCCCGGGCTGTAGGGACAATCCAAGAAAGCAGCCTCTGTTTGTCCAGTGCTGCTGGGATCAGGAGCTGTTTCCCTCTCCTGTCCAACTCCTCATCCGTACAAGCTCAGTGCTGGCATGTTCCTCCAGGGAGATGGGGGGCTGTGGCTTCCCTAGGGACAGAGCTGGCTCCTGCACTAGTGCCCTCGGCCTCCCTGAAGACCAACAGGTGATGGGTCCGAATAAGCCACCCACAGCCTGGGGAGTGTAAAGCTGCTGTCCTGGCAGCCAGAGAGCAGGGGCCTCCTTGTGCCTGAGGACTGGCATGTTCTCAGGCACTTGTTTGTGTGGGGAGGAGCCCGCAGCAGGTCACCGCAGTGGGCCTGGGCTCCTGCTGACCTTCTGCACAAGAGGTTGGAGCAGGTGTAATATGAGCTCTGGTCCCGGTGACGAGATCAAGGTAACTTACAGGAGAGGGAGAAGGAGGCCCCTCCCACCCCCAGCCAGCGTCTTCCAGCTCCCCTGGCTGAGCTCCAGGCGGAAGCAGGGTGGTGGGAAGAAGCACACTTGCCTTCCAAGGGCTGGTCTGTCTGCTTTGGGGGTTCGTGGAGCAACGCAGGCCTGGAGCCCTGGAGGGAAGGCTTCCCTCTGCTCTCACCCAGGCCCTGCTCTTGCCTTTTCTGGCCCCTGGCCCATGGCTGGAGTCTCATGGACCTGTGGCTCCTGGTCTCATGACACATCTAATAAAATGTGTTTCTTGGGCCGGGTGGCCTGTGTTTGGTGGCAGGCATTCTCTGCCGCCAGCACACGTTCACTCCCGTGATTCTAGGCAGAAGGAGCAGATGCAGAAGAGAAATGGCGGGAAGACAGTGGATGAGAGGCAGCTGTTCCACGGCACCAGCACCGATTTCGTTGACGCCATCTGCCAGCAGAACTTTGACTGGCGGGTCAGTGGTCTTCATGGGACTTCCTACGGCAAGGGTAAGTGCGAGGCGGCCTCTGCTGGCAGAACCCTCTTTGCCTTGCTGTCCAGGGCTCGGAAACCACTTTAAAGCAAGTTGATGGAGGGCGTGGGGGGAACCAGCATGAGCTGAACCAGCGG